ACCAATGAATCACTCTTTTTTGTTTTTTCATATAGAAGAATAAAAAAAAATATGGTAGTTTTCTTTCCAAAGTTAAAATCAGGTATAGGTAAACTATAGGTCCAATGGATTTGTTATTTACTCAGTTTTAAGGCTGTGGCTCCACACCAGGCATCCAGAAGTGAATATTTCCTGATGAAACATAACCCAAATATACTTTGTGGATGCTGTAATTTATAAGAACACATCTCTGTTTTGTCATAAAGAACATATATTTTTAGTTTCTGTCACATCAACCAAAGATGATATTATGTTATTTGGGAGGGTTATGTTGAAGGAGGATTTTTTTATCTTTTGACAGAGTAAGATGTCTTACCTGTTTTAACTTCTGAGTCAAGCCAAATTTATTGCTGCAGCCATTCTAGATAACAGTCATATTAATTTAAGAGAGACGTCAGTAGGTGGATTATTGTTTTAATGGAGTGTTTTCATCTTTCTTTCTTTCTTTCTTTCTTTCTTTCTTCTTTTTACAGGGTGCCTTTTTCGGACTAATAATCGGTTTAGTAATAGGATTATCCAGGATGATTACAGAGTTTATCTACGGAACAGGGAGCTGTGTCAGCCCAAGTAACTGTCCTACCATCATCTGTGGAGTGCACTACCTCTACTTTGGGATGATCCTGTTTGCTGTCTCTTGCATCCTCATACTTGGAATCTCCCTAATGACCAAGCCCATCGATGACAAGCATGTACGTGACAGTTTTGTGATAAGAGTAGCTTAATATGTAACTTTCCAAATCAGTAACTGTTCACAGGAAGACTATCCACTATGAACGTCCTGCACAAACTCTTTTACATTTTTTCTGCTCATGATTACATTATATCCAAATTCTTATTAAAGTTGCAGGTACTTTGGGACGTTAAAGACTGAGTAATATAAAATCTTAGTATGCAGTTTCTGAGTGAAGTTTAAGATGGTGACGAAGTTAGCAGTTAAGAATACTGTTCTTAGAAGACTTTTTTTGTAATTTATAGCGTCTGCATGAGCTTCAAGCTTGACTTTATTACACCAATCAAAAAAACAAAATGCACTTGCTGCAGAAGAATTTATGTTTATATCAATTTCAGCAATCTCCAGTTGCTGAAACGCACTTCACTTACTTTGTTCACTTGATGCTGCAGTATGTA